TGGTTCCACAGGAGAGGAGCCTGAGAACTAAAAGATCTGCCTCCCATTCTACTTTTACAAATTCTAGGAACCACATCCATCATCCATTCAACATGAATGTTGGATGGAGTTTTCATGTTTTGTTTTGTTCTGAACGTTCTGAAAACTGTGATATTTGGGATTTTTATAAGAATCTGTTGTTTAGTCCAGATCTCTGTATTCCCCCATTAATCTGAACCAGTTTATCACCAAAAATTTCAACATTTTTCTGAGGCTTAATCTCATCATAAGGACTCAGGATCTGCTACTGAACCAGAGCCTGAAATAGTTTCTGCTTAGTTGGATCAATGTGCTTGTTTACATGTTTTATGAGTCTAACTGGAGCAGGACAGAAAAAGAACCAACAAACACGCCGGTAAACATTGGATCCTTCCCCCCCCCCAATCGGGTCAGCATCAGAACCACCATCTGGTTACCTTTCAAGACCAATGGCTTCGATAACATGCTAAACCTTTTCGGTTTGGTCCTAATGAGTCTTGATTTGTAAAGCTGTCTGGTTCCACTTGGACTGGGCTCATCTGTTGGCCCCTTCCCTCCCACCTTTAATACAGTACGCTTGCATTATGTGACCCAACAGGATGGTTGGTGGTTCTTCAGAACCGGCTTATGCTGTGAAAGGAAGGTGAATGGAGGGAAGGTAAAGAGGGCTCAGTGGCGAAGTGACAGGAATGGAGGAGGAGCGTCAGCTCGGTTTTAAAGGTTCACTCCGAGGACAGCCGTGTGGTTCTGTTCAGACACGTTTCTGTCAAAACAACATTTATTACTCATACTAGGTGAAACCAGCCGATGTCCAAACAACACCTCTTTGATCAGCCGTTGGAACCTCGTCAACCGGAGCCTACGGGCCCTAAAGGGTCCGGCAGCGCCAGCCATGTTTGTTTTACAGATTACGTGGCCGGGTCAGAGCCATGGCGGGCGTTCACGGTGAGTTCTGATGTCGGCCATGAACTCCACCTCTCATTGCTCAGCCAACATTCCAGTTTCCCAGAGGAACTGTGGTGAACCAGTCCAGGACCAGAATGAACAGTAACTTCTGTTTCAGAATGTAGATCTGCAGATCTATAGCTACAGATATAAACCTTCTCTCAGTCCTGTGGAGTTTATTAGAACCGGTCCGTTTCCATCTGGTGTTCTAAGCTTCACTGAATCAAACACCAACACTGATATTACAGAACCTTTTTATTCTTCATCAGCTGAAATGTGTGAACATAAAACAGAACCTCTTCACTTTTCTTCAAAAACGAATTCAGAGAAACCCATCTGGTTTGGTCTCATGGTTTGATACACCATTTCATCCCAGCTAACAGGATAAGACTTCTAGAAGTCTGAGTCCAATCACACCAACGTTCAAAACGAGTCAAAACTAAAGGGAACCAGAACCATGAGCAACAGATGGGTCCCTGCTGCTCAGAAAGTTCTGAACATCTGTCTGGAAGGGTCCAGCAGCTTCCTTAGGACGCTGCATCAGCTGGTGGAACATATAACACCCAAACCCGAACTGAAGGTTCTGCTAGAATTACTGAAATGTTCTCAGCCAGCAGGATCCCCTTAGAGCGATCCGGTGTGGTGGAGGAATCCAGAAAGTCGTTTAAGCTGGAGAACAGTTCGTTTGATCTACACAGACCTGTTGATGGGAAAACTTCTCTAGAAACAGGTCCTGTCTGGATGACAGCCAGTCTTTAGTGAACCAGTGAGAGATGATATAGCATATATTTAAACACAACAATTACTGCACATAGTTGACGAGCTAAGATGGAGAAGCAGCCCCATCTGTGGCCAGATCAAATCCAGATGAAACTAGTTCTTTTAGGTCCAGTGGTCAACGTTGGATCTTCCGTGGTTGAAACTCCACAACTAGAACTGATGTCCGGGTCAGAAAAACAACCGTCATGCAGCAGAGTTAGTCAGTAGTCGTCATAGCGATACGTGTTGGGGTAGGCGTAGTGGTAATCGTAGCCATCCGTCCGCTCTGTTTTGGTCTGCAGTGGTTCTGGAGGAAACGACAGACTCTTGATGACACCGCCAGGCTCGTCTGTCACCTTGACTTCGGTGGAATAAGAAGAGGAGGCATCGTCCAGCAGGGAGGAGCAACCGGGCAGGCCTGGAGGTTTGGTTGGAGCGCAGGGCTGGTAGGACGTGAGGCTGCCAGAAGGTTTAGGACATGGCTGGTAGGGAGGCAGTGTCCCTGGAGGCTTTGGACAGGGCTGGTAGGACACCTGGAAAGGACAATTAGACAGTCACCCTCATATGTACTGTTACCATAAACATCAAGGTTTCTCTTTCAGACACACAAACATGGTGTACAGTGATAACAGAGGTCCATTTACTGCTAACAATAAGGCCGAGTTAGAACGTGTCCAACTGCTCATCTGCCTGAATCCCGGAGACCCAGAGGGAACCAAGGCACATCCTCACAGACGTGGACAAACTGGTTTCACGGTAGCAGAAATAACCCAACCAGAGAACTTTAGAGGAGCCCCAACAGAACGGCCATCTGTGAAACAGGAGGTCGTCTGACTTTCTCTACAACAAGAAACAATCCTCTGACTCAGAGTTTCCAATCCCTGGGTGTTCACGTCAATAATAAACTGGACTCCTAACTGCGACGCCTTCTATAATGAGACATTACAACCGCAATAACTGCTGCAGTGGAGAATAATTACTATTAATTACCCTGTGCAATAACTATATATATAAATATCCATCTATATAAATACCCATGTAATTTTCTGTATGATGATCCTACTATAAAAACAAAAGGCTGTCATATATGGACGCACTTTATGTACTGTATATATCCCATCATGCACCTTCTTCTTCTTCTTCTTCTTCTCCTTTGACTATTTGAGCTGATGGAACGAGTACATTTCTCTACTGTGAGATCAATAAAGTCATCAATTCATCAATCAATATTCGTAACTCCGTTCCAGGTAAAACACTGAATGACTATGGCAAGCCGATTTGACATTTATTGCACTCTCCTCTCTATTGTTCCATTTGTTTATCTCTAAATGTAGTGA